AAACTCCTTACAGGGGGGTATATAAGGGGTTATATAGGGGACTACTATAGGGGATATTAAGGGGGATACTAGGAGTTTAGACAGTGGCTCATCTGAGGTCCTAACTACGGGCCGTTTCTAGGGGGTTTATAGGGGCCCATAATATTAGAAATTGAGGAATATCGCTTAAAACATCCGGGGAATGCTCGTATATTTAGGGCATATTCCTTAACAAAGTGGTGTTGGACAGTTGGATTTACCTTTCTGCTTGCTCTATACTTGCACAAGGACCCTGCATCCCCAAAAAACAGGCCCTAAACTTTGTAGAACCCTATATGACCCCTATACAACCCATTATAGAAGTTTCCATTTTCTTTTCCATTATCCTTACATAACCTATATCAGAGCCTAACTCGAGCTCTACGGTGAGGATGTCCTTATGGGGGGGTTGTCCAAGGCAATAGGTAACCTAGTAGTCCCCATTGTTCCCCAGTGCTCCCTAAGCTCACGGGTTCCCCAAGGCTCCCTTGAACCCCTTGGTTTAGGGTTTAGGGTTTAGCCCCTTAAGGATCCCAAAATCAGGCTTGGTCCGCCTCAGGGGTGCCCCTTCTGTACTCCATCTACACGGGACGGTTGGCTGGCAAAAGTGCCGCACAGGCACTTGGCGCCAAGGAGAAGGTGTCGGATCTTGGCTCCATCTCGTCAGCAGAGGACAAGCTGGAATAAGAATGGAATGCAAAAGGAATTTCGTAACCCCAATCCTTAAAACTAGGACCCTATAGTTATATGGTAGATGTAGGGTCCTGATTATGGGGTTGGGGTAACTCAAAACCCTCTTATTGCACAGGACAAGGTGCCGGAAAAGAAGCCAGAAGACATGACTCGTGATGAGCTCCTGGCCTACTGCAAAGAGATGGAGACTCGACCTGCTGTTGCAGCTCCAGTGACAGATTCCGGCCCTCCAGGTGTTACCATGGAGGAGGTGGCCAAGCACAACAAGAAGGAGGATGCATGGATTATCGTAAATGGTGAGGCCATTGACGTTACGAAGTGGATCTCCATTCATCCTGGTGGCGAGCAGGCCATCATGGCATACTTGGGAAAGGATGCGACGGAGGAGTGGAACATGATCCACAAGCTAGGCACCGTGGAGAAGAACGCCCAGCATCTGAAGATGATGGGTAAGATCGGTGCAGGTGGAGGTGGCGGGGGAGCTGCTCCTGCTCCTGCTGGGAGTGGCCTGTCCATGGATGAGGTGGCAAAGCACAACAAGAAGGACGATGCCTGGATCGTTGTGAATGGTGAAGCCATTGACGTCACTAAGTGGATCCCAATTCACCCAGGGGGCGAGCAGGCCATCATGGCGTATCTGGGCAAGGATGCAACTGAGGAGTGGGTCATGATTCACAAGCCTGGCACTGTGGAGAAGAACGCCCAGCACCTGAAGATGATGGGCAAGGTAAGTGGAGCCGCAGCGGCTTTTGCTGCACCCCCAGCTGCCGCTGATGATGAGGCGCCGCCTCCGGATGGGAACGGTGGAATCCCGGGCATCATTGGCGCTGTTGTCTTCCTGTTGAAGAGCGTGATGGTCATGGTCTTGCGGACCATTTTCTTCACCGGCAACTTCAAGTTCACCTTAGACAACAACCGGAAGGGCACAATGCGTTCGGCCGTGTTCTTGCTTACCTTTACCATCGTCCACGCCCTTGGAAATTTTGTTGACATGCTGGGAGGGCCAGCAGAGCTAAATGGTGAAGGACTGGGTTGCTGTAGACCCCTCATAAATCCTAAACCCGGAACCCGTGCTACGTTAACAGCACCCCATAGGATACCTCTTCGACCGCATCCACTGGACTGGTGGGCTTGGGCTTACGAAATCATTCCCAGTGTCTTGCTGGGAGTTAGTAGGGAATGAGGGTATATACATATGTGTATGAGGCTTAGGCTGTAGGGTGGGTACGGAACAAGGGATCTAATCCCTATATCGTTGCTATGTAATATATTTCCTTATGCCCCACTAACGCTAGACTGTAAACCCAGAGCGCAAGTAAGGTGTCGGTGGTGGAGGAGTACTTGGCTTTGGCTCTGCTCCTGCATGTCACAGTAGCCCTGAAGCTTAACAGCTTTAGGGGATATAGTCCCCCTTAAGTAGAGCGAATATGGAATATTTGGGTTAGGGTTTAGGGCCCCAAACCATAATCCGATCCCTATACTATATGCCCTAGAGTCTATGTACTGAAGGGGGACTATAGTTCTAGCCTGCTGTGTCGGTCTGCGGTATGAACCCGGTCTGACCCAACAGATGATTAGGGTTTAAGGTTTAGGGTTTAGGGTTGGGTTTAGGTTTTGGGGA